CGTTCGTCGTCTCTCTCTCTCTCTCTCTCTCTCTCTCTCTCTCTCTCTCTCTCTCTCTCTCTCTCGCGCGAAATGTTTAGCGCGACAGTTGCAAGAAAAATTGCCAGCATCTTTGGTAAGCACATAAAAACATATATTTTGTATATGTATGAATATTTTGAAGAATCTTTAATCTTTTGGAACTGATATCATAGAAATTAACCACAAATAACTCATCCAAATTCTCAAAATTTTAAACCACTCATGTCAAAAAATCATTGACTTAATCATCGAAGTGTTTTCATAAGAACATCGTAATATAAGAAACTTTCTGTTGTTTTTATTTAGTATTTGATGAAGAAGACGACACTGCCTCAAAAATATACAAATTAAATGATAAATAACTACTCCCTCAATTTACATAGCAAAGTCTTCATCAACCATCAAGCAACTATTAATTGATTTTATCGTCTAAATAATTTATTTTTAAATTTGAACACTCCATTAGTAAATTAGTGTTGAAAATAATATATTTTTAAAAAGAATTCGAACGTGTAAAATATATTTTCTTTTAAATCAAAAACTAAAGGACCAAAAGGTACACAAACAGGCGTGTCAAAATTTTCGAACGTATAGTTATCCCTAACCTCAAATTCAATTTATAAATAAATAAAAATGCAATTATTTTAATTTTTAGTTTTATAGATTCTAAGAAATCTGATATATATATATATGAAAAATATTCTTGATCTGTCGTATGCTAGAAAAGTTTGATGGCTTAAATAAAGAGATAACGAAGAGAAAGATACTCAATGTGAGACAGTTTGAAAATGAAAGAATACATTGAAAAATATATAAAGTAAAAAAAGGTTATACCTTTTCGATTGTATGATACATTTATATATATAATAGCTAACGTTATTTTAGTATTAGTATAGAAAGATCGAAAAGTAGATGAAAAAATTGTTTCTTTTTATAATTTTATTCTTTTATTTGGTAGACGTAATATGGCTGTAAATAAGATAATTACAAATAGCTTATATATAATGTGTATGCATGTGATGTATTAATTGTATGGGGTAGACATAGTTATAACTCCAAAAACAATAAGCTGACGAGAGAGTGTTGAAAAATAATCAGGAAGTGTCATCATTGTTTCCTTCAATAAAAAATTTAAGGACGTTTTCATTTCAAATCTTTGGACTTCTTGTATTTCACATCGTCATTTACAATAAATACATCTAGTTATATGTCAATATGTGTATACATGAGTTCCTATATTTGTTCCACATATGGTCACTAGTATAAATAAGCAAAATATCCAACACGCATATTTAACATACCCAATTACAATAAATACTCTCTCTCTCTCTCTCTCTCTCTCTCTCTCTCTCTCTCTCTCTCTCTCTCTCTCTCTCTCTCTCTCTCTCTCTCTCTCTCTCTCTCTCTCTCTCTCTCTCTCTCTCTCTCTCTCTCTCTCTCTCTTTTTGGGTATTCCCTTTTAAAAATACCCCTATAAGGGGAGCATTTTTAAAACTACCCCTGTTTTAATGCCAAAAGACGATTCTGCCCTCGTTTATGTTAAACCTAAAAAATCTTTGGTTCACAATTCTCTCTCTCGACGACGACTCCGAAATCGAGCTCTCTCTTCACAGGCGACGGCTGGGAATCGGTCTCTCTAGACTCCGGCGATTCCGTCTCCTCTCTATCTCAACTCCGGTTCGGACTCCTCTCTCTCTCGACTCCGGTGAGAATCATCTGTTTCTCGACTCCAAGCTCAGACTCCTCATCGGCGTCGCTGGTTGAGGACTCCTCGTCGTCATCTGTTTTCACACAAATTCGCCTTCGCCGTGTGTTCTCCCTCTTGGCCATGTAAGTGCCCTATGTTATCTCATACTTGTGAATTGTTTAGGGTTTGAAAATTTAGGGTTCTTGTTTAGATGTTGGAGATCGATTGAGATTAATTTTTACTAAAGTTGGGTTTTTGTTTGACTCATATGGTTTGTTTAGAAATGTTTTACTCTATATTGACTACAATTGTTCATGGATGGCTTTAATCACGCTATTGAATTTGAGCTTAGATTTTGAAATGCTAGTTTTTGGTACTTTAGTTGCTGTTGGGAATGACAAGAATTTCAGTTCAATTTAATCAGTGGTGTTTTTCATCTTTCAAATGAATTGACGAAATTCCTTATGATTGAGTTTTCTTTGGGGTGGATCAGTTAGGAAACCTGCTATTTTGGTGATTTGCAACTTGGTAAATGTTATAGAAGATCTTTGAAATGTAAGAAACTTCAATACTTTATTGTGTTAGTACATTGGTATGTTGCTGTTTCTTTGTATTCTGCCCCATTTATCTAGTAAATTTTGAAGTTTGTGGTTAAATATATCTATGTTTGCAAAGATGCTGAAGGAATAGAAATTGTTAAATGTTTATAAAAACCTTATAGAAAATGAAAATCATAAAAACTTTGTAAAAAATGGTTTATGCATCAAAAGCTGCAGTCTCATAAGCATTTTAAAAGGTTTTTAAACATTTGGGTTAAATATTTTGGTTTTTGATGTTAATAGACAGATGGAAAGTAGTGAACCGGTTGATTATCTTCTATTACCTAACGGTATATATGAAGATGGAAGTGAACCATTCTCTCAAGCATCAATAATACAACATACGGATTCTAAACTAATTTGGAAAGTTAAAGCTGTTTTGAGTGATGAGTCATTCAAGCAGCTTGAGGATTCTTTCCTCGGACACATCATCAAGATTGCCTCAAAAAGCTTCAAATTCTCGGGCAAACTATTTCACTATATTATGATGAGGAGGCTGAAGACAAAAGGAAACAACTTGTGGTTCAGAATCGCTTAACAACCAACACGTTTCTCAATGAGAGAATTTTGTCTGTCAACAGGTATTTCATATATATTTTACGTCTTTGTTTGATTTCTGCCAGTTATAGAAAGTTTTTATACGGTTTTTATAAGGTTTTTATAAGGTTTTTATAAGCTATATACATATCATTTGAATGTAAAATAAACGAATTCTTTGAAAACTTGTTTATAAGGCTTTTATAAGGTTTTTATAAGGTATATACATATAATTTGAATGTGAAATAAGTTTTTATAAGGTTTTTATAAGGTTTTTATAAGGTTTTTTATAAGGTATGTACATATCATTCGAATGTGAAATAAACAAATTATTTGAAAACTTGTTTATAAGGTTTTTATAAGGTATGTACAAACCTTTCAAATGTGAAATAAACGAATTTTATGAGTAGATTGAAAATACTAACCTCATTGTTTAATATAACACATGTATTCATTGTGAAAAGCTTGATACATATCAAAGTAGGAAGGGAAAAAAACCTGCTAAGAAACCCTACAGTTGGACATCGGGAAAAGATTTGACCTTGAGTAATTTGGAGGATTACTTGTTTTCTGAACCAAAGGATATATCTGATTTGGAGAAAACAGAGGAAACAGAGGCGCCGATGGAAGAAGATGAAAAGCTTTGCCTTGCAGCTGTCATCCTTACAGAAGCATTCTTGATGACGCCTCATTCATTAGAGAGAATCCCAAGTTCAAGACTTCACCATGCATGCGATTTTGAGGCGTATACATCTTTGGCATGGGGAAAGGAAGCCTACAACGTCTTGGCAACAAGTATCAAGAGGATGGATACCAATACGTGGGCGAGAGGCCAATATGAAGTCAAAGGTTTTCCTTTGGCTTTATTGATCTGGTCATTCAGCGCTGTACCACTTTTTGGAGCGACGTTTCCTGTATGCAACGACACGACAAAGTGTGTCTATCCTCTGTACTCTAACTGGGAATCTTCATTAACTCCAAGATTAGATCAAATCGTGGATGCCATTCAATCATCAGATTGTGTAAGTTTTCGTTCCTTTTATAACACTTATTATTTGGTGATGAGCATTAATTTTATAAGGTTTTATATGGTTTTAAAAGTATTTTAAAAGGAATTTTAATGGAGTTATTTAAGATTTTATAAGGGTTTTATAAGGATTTTATAAGGATTTTATAAGGGTTTACAACCATTGTAAGGATTTTATAAGGGTTTTATAAGGGTTTACAACCATTGTAAGGATTTTATAAGGGTTTTATAAGGATTTACAACCATTGTAAATCCATTTTAAAAAGCTTTTAAAACCTTTGTTATTTATTTTTCTAGATTGAGGTCAAATCTATTATTAGAGATCCAGAGGAATACAAACACCTAGTAGAAGAAACTCATGTAGACGACAAAGAGTTTGAAGATATTGTACACTTGGTGATAAGAGGCTACAGATTAAAGAAAATTGATTGGAGGAACAAAATTGTTGAATACATTTCTGCGGAGGCAGAGTTGGGGCAGCAATTGTCAGATTCTGCCAAACTGGACAAGATCCTTAAACTGGTTGCGGACTTCAACAGAAGATTAGAAATACTTGAAGTGGTTTTAAAAGTCAGAAACAACATGGGGACATATAACGAGGTAAAATATTTGTAAATTTTAATTAATAAAAAGTTTGGGTTGTTTCCTATGATAATTTCTTACTTTTCTTATTGCAGTCCGAGCTTGAAGGAGACAAAGATAAAAGTGAAGAGGTTAGTATATATTGTTTAAAGATTTTATATGGTTTTTAAAAGGCTTATAAGGGTTTTATATAGCTTTTAATAGGGTTTTTGAAAATTTGTGATACTTTGCCTGGTTCTTTATTTTTGTGTAGCAGGCTGGACAAAGTAATCCTCAT